CGCAGTCAGGCGCGCTTTTAAAATTCGCGAACTGTCAGAGGGAATACAATGGGCACGACGCTAGTCGAAACATTTCATTGCAAATATATTAAATATTAATTATGTTGTGTCGCTGTCTATACCGTGATGGCCCATTCGACGGGGCATTTTAATTCAATTTGTGAAATTTGCAAAAAATATGCTAAATTTGCGTGCAAAAAAATATGAACAATTTTATGACAGATGACATGATAGATATTCGGCGAGTGGCAAAGCCAGCTAATTCGAAAGCGATTGCGTTCACGTATTCGAAAAACAGGGCTGCCTTGAAAATGTAATTATCGCAGATCTAAAATGGAATTCAATTGCGTCCACAATTAGTTCTCTATGCGGACAAGCAAGCCTCTAATTCTAATAAAAATATCTGAATGATTTTGTTTGCGCTAATCGGCAAATGTATTGCTCGTTACTACATTTAGAAAGAAGAAGAAAACGGATAGATAAGTTGAAGAATACCATTGAAACATCGAAAGTGCTGGATAGGTACGGTCACTGAATAGACTTCAGCAGTGGTGAAGTGGCCTAGGTCGTCTTGGGCAACATGGCGAATATGCCAGGTTTCAGATTGTTGACATCCTGGACAACAAACTCGCCGGAAATGTGGTCGTTCATGAGGAGCGATCGCTTCTTGCTGGCATCCAGGAGGTGGGCCTCAAAGTGGATGTCAACCTCCAGTTCGGGCAGAATGGACGAGGTTGGGTCTTCTGGCCACCAGAACTTATTGATGTAGTACGAGCCCTGTAATTTGCGATTAAAGCGTAAGTGACGAAATTTGTATCTTCCCTAGAAGACGCGATTGTAGATTGCACGAGGGCCAGAGCGCAAAGCGTGGGAGCACTCACCTTCGGTATCGGACAGGTGTCAATGATATTTCCGTATTCGCGCATGAAGCCGTGCACGAAGCGACCCACTGGCGACTGGTTGGCATAGTTCAGGATGCGGCAGACATTCAGGGTGGTGTTCAAGGTGGTTGTGTAGTATGGGTCCACTTTGTTAGTTATGCGCACCTCGAAGTGAATGTCCACGTCGTGCAGCGGTTGGTGCACCTCCATGGAGAAGTTCAGGTGTGGATCCGAGTTGTCGTAGAGGATCTTGTGGCTGACCATTTTCTCCTCGCTCCACACCTTGATCTCCTTGAACTTGGGCCGCATCATTTTCTGGCCAATGCAACGGGAGCTGGTAAGGAATAGTCTGGAGGCGATTCGAGAGCACTTACCTCGGCCAAGCTGCCAGAGCAGAGCGCCATAAGGACTTGCACTACAAGCACACTATTCATCCACATGGTTTTTTACTATGCCTGCCAACCTCTGTGATGCTCCAGATATTTATAGTGCCAGGTAATCATTAGCAAAGGTAATTATGAATCGATGTTGTCGATAATAGGGCTTGAGACTAAACGCCTGAGTGATTGTGAATAAAAGCATATTCAAAAACAATTAGTTGACGCTGTTTGCCGTGACAATGAGGATTTTCATCTGATTCCGTAATGGCCAAACTCATTTGGTCTCCAGTGATGCCTGACGCCTAATACTCCTATAATATGACTAATGGTTAATTGAATAAAATTGCCAGTTTATAATTTAACTAAGATGGGAGCAGAGTTAAGTCTACGATTTCTTGCATTGGCACTTACGCTAATGCTAAGCCATCCTGTAGCTCATGGCTGGGTAAGCGTGGGGCTGGGTGCTGGAACATATAGGGCTGCTTCTATGATGTAAAGATCATCCGATCTGCTATTTTAATAAATTGTCTTTCTTTTGCACTCTACAATTTCCAGCGATCCTTCAAGATTGTTTTTGTGCGCTTCGACTACGAAGTCAATGCGAAGCTGGTGGATGTGAAAATAGAATTACAAAACAGTAGCAAAAGTGCGCTTACCGTCGTCGTCAACACCCTGGAGACAATCAACGATGTGGATGTAACGGGCAGTGTATTCTTGGAAACGGAGCCGGGCAACTATACCAGCCTCATCAGCAGGACTGTGGACCTCTGCAAGATGTTGAAAGACCGCAACGTGGATCCCCTGTCACGGTCCATATACCAAGACATGCAGCGATATGGAAAACTTTTCAAGGAATGCCCCATACAGAGGGGCACCTACACGCTGCAGGACTATGTTGTAGACGAGGAGCTGCTGCCCAGCTTTCTGCCAGAGGCGAACTTCAAATTTAGCTTACGTCTATCCAAACCTAAGAATCAGATGATATTCAAGGGCTCGTTCTACGGACGCATCGACAAGTCGAAGGGTTTCAACAATCTTAAACTTTTTAGTATGGGTTAATAAAGACGTAAATCGAGTTGAGCAGAAGGGAGAGAGAGTGCAAGAGAGAGATAGAGGGAGAGAAAACTGTATGTGTGGGTGCGCTCTTATGTGCTAAACGCTCAATAAAGGTGTCTTGAATGCTATAAATTTGTCAACACTTCGTACTTCAATTTAAATTATAGTCATGCAATATGTGTA